GCTATATTAGTACAAGTGATATTAAAATACCTAAGTTAGATAAATAATATTTATGGAATGTCGGAACCTAGATTATTAATTATTAATATATCAATATTATTTGTCCAAACTGAATTACGAAGCATGATTTTGTGCCAAGTAAAATTACGAAGCACCAGAATCAGCCACGTAGGCTCAGCGCATTCGGGAATGATATATAGGGAGGATAATAGAAACGAATAATGCCATCTATCTTCTAGAAAATTGTTCCATACATTATGAGAAAAAAAAAATGCTAAAATTTATAGAAACTACCAAAAAAGAGGATTATTAGAAATAAACCAATCTATATTGCTAAAATTTCTAGAAACTACCAAAATAGCTCTCGGACATTTTCTCCTATTCATCTTCGTTTTCTCTCTGTCGACCTAAAATCCCCTTCGTTCGGCCAGTAGGGTTTTATCGATCTGCCATTAAATCCCCGACTAACAATTTCGATTTCCCCCCAAAATTATGCCCTCTAAATATAAACCCTAATTAGTACCTTTTCCCTGCCTCGGATTTTTTCCCAGCTGGTTTCTAGGTTTTTTTTTTTACTAATTTCTGGTACAGAAATGGCGATAATTCAAATGGTTCGATGAATTTCCGGTGACGAAATCGTAATTGGCACCTCCGGCGTCTTAAGGGTTTTTGAAATCGTTCAAAAACCCTTAAATGATTCTTGAATCTGAACATGAACGATGGAGGTCAAGCTGAAGAGGAGACTGATAACGCGAACCGCTCAGTCATCCGATCTGGCGCCGGAAGTTACAGCCGGGAGATAGCAAGAATTTCAGTGGCTCAGATATGCGAAGCCATAGGGTTCGAAGGGTTCAAGGAGTCCGCTCTCGATTCCCTTGCCGACATTGCGATTAGGTACATTAGCAACTTAGGTAAAATTTCCAAATTTCACGCTAATTTAGCCGGTAGGGCAGAGTCCAATGTGTTTGATGTGGCTCAAGGGCTGAAAGACTTAAGCTTGCCTCAGGGCTTCTCGGGTAATTCGAATATTCATACCGACTGTAAGTTCTTCTTGGCTGTTGTAACCGATATTATGCATTACGTTGAAACTTCCCAAGAGGTCCCATTTGCTCAGCTGGTCCAGAAATTTCCGGTGGTCAGAGAACGAAAAGGGATACCTAGTTTTTCACAAATAGGCGACTTTCCGAGTTTCAAGCACGTTCCGCCATGGCTGCCGGAGCTCCCGGACCCACACACGTATATTCGGACGCCCGTGTGGAATGAGAGGCTTTCGAATCTCTGTGAGGACAAAATCGAGCTTGCCAAGCAGCACAGGAAGGCCAAGAGGTCTTTGTTGAGCTTGCAGCAGAGGCTTCTGTGTAATGAGTCATCTTCTTCCTTGGACGGGGGTAAAGCAGGTAACCAGTTTTTGGCTAGCCCTCTGCAAAACGTGGAGACGAAGGTCTCGTTGTTGAATATGTTTGCTCCTGCCATTAAGTCGATGAGGGATGGCAGTCTTGACTCGGGGAGTGATAGGGAGAAGATTGCTCCTGAAAGGAGGGGTAAAATGGTCTTTGACGAGCCGTTAGAACTGAGTATTCGGAATAAGGCGGAATCTTGGTTCGGGCTGGAGGACGAGAGGGGCGATAAAAAGAGGAGGGTTGAGTTTATAATTCGGCAGTCCCTGGAAAACCAGCAGGAGCTATCCGGGTTGTAAGTAATTTTTCCTTTTAGTTTGCTTTTAGTGACGTTGGATGGCTAATTTTTTGGGGGGAAACGGCGGTTAAATTAGGGTTTTTGGTCAAATTGAACAAAATTAGGATAGGATTTCCTGTGAATGTGGTGCTAATCTATTTTAGGATCTAGGGGTGCAGGTTAAGACATTTTCGAGATTCGTCTGGTTTTCTGTTTTCTTGTGGTCAGATTCCTTTGTGTTGTTGACATTGATTATTTTAGTGAATGAAATAGTAGTTTCTTGTGCATAATTTTCTTCAAATCTGTATGTTAGGATCAAATATGGTGGTGTTGTATATTGATCGTTATGATATTTGATCGACATAAGGACAGACTTTAAGTGGATAATACATTTCGAGCAATGGTGTGAACATTTGTGAGCATCTGAGTTTCATTATTGAATGTAAAATTTTGCATACTGCAGCAGAATTTTACTCATTATTGAATTCATGTAAATTTTTGTCAACTGCAGCAATATTTTCTGGGTGGCACTTTAGAATTATATCCTAATAGAGGAGAGGACTCTTCTATTTATTAGCCTTCTCTTGGTTTGAGAGGGGCAGACTTTTTAATAAAAATTCAGCAGATTTGAGAT